ATGGCCTGAAGAACAGATGAAGGACGATGTGCCGCCTGCAGTGTGGCTGGAAACAAAGCTTATCTTTGAGTTCAAGAGAAGGACGCCAGGTCTTGATTTGGTTTACACATTCCATAAAAATGTTTGATTAAGAAGACCCCTGGTTCCAATCACTTCCGACCAAAGGCCCCACTTTCTCGTTGCCAGGGAAACGGAGTGCCTTTCTGAGCAAGGATCAGGCTGTTATTAAAAATGGGCTGGATAAAAAGAATATGGGAAACAATCTTGGGAGTCACTGGTACAAAACAGAGGAGTTTCCTCCAAATTGAGAGGGGCTTTGTCCATACAGAGTGCTGCTGGATACGTGTGATAAGATCTGGGTGCAGAAGTGCCGTCCAGATCACCGTTTCAGGAAGCCTTATGAGGACTTGAAGGGCCAACTGTTTGAAACCTCATGGTCTCCTGCAAGCAAAAGCCACAGTATGCTGCGACGTTGGAGTTCATGAACTTGAGAGGAAGGGTCCAGAATGGAAAGGCCACCTTCTCTTCGTGGCTGGATCAGTTTCCACCAAGAAATTATTGGGATTGTAGAGTCAGCATCAGCATCAGATGACCAAAGAAAACGGGTTCTGATGGCTCCATGGGTGTATTTGGGGGGAGGGCGAAATAGCCGAAACATACCACAAAGTAGACAGAACCGAATTGTTGTTGATGAGGGCTATACCAAAAACTCCTAGCATTGCTCCAGTCTTCCAGGCTTACAGCTGGGTCATGATAGTACCAAACATGGACTCGAGTTGGGGATTGACCACGCCCTGTAAGCCCCCCCCCTTGCTGGGCCATCTGGATCCCAAGCGTTTTGAAGAATTGCCCCCTTGGAAGGCAATTAACGTCCCAACCCTGGACCCCATCCGTGGGAATGGAGACAACCACCACAGTTTTATCACAGTTGAGCCTTGCCCCTGAAAACTCTGTAAAAGTATTCAAACACCAGCGTAATTCCGTCATTTGGGCATACCAAGTGAGCTGGGCTGGCATTACTTTTGATTTGATTTTATTATTATTATTATTTTAGTTTTTGTTTTTTTTTGGTAGGAGAACTAACATTTCCATTATAAGGCTGAAAAGCTGGTTCATTGTCCCTTACAGCGGTATGCACTCACGCTTTCCTCTGTTATGGCCGAGGACACCTGAGACAGTGGCATGGATTACTTTGAAGTTGTGATTGGTAGTTAGGGAGGAAAAAGGAAAATGCTGTTCAGCACTCATTGCTTTTGCTTCTTTTTTTTTTTTTTTTTTGTAATAAAGCCCAGGGTGTTGTAGAGGCCAAGGACCAGACCCACAGTGATCGCTGGCAGCGGCAGCTGATGGTTGTCCTGACAGGATAGGCCACCTTCCCTACCCTTCCCCACATTAATTCTCCCAGCGCACCCCCTATCCCTACTATCTTACCTTAGTGTGACCAGCACTCAGGACCATCACCCTACCAATATCGAGGGCAACTTGGACCAGACAGCAGTGACAAGCACCAAGGCTGGGCAGCCCCGCAGCCCTAGTCAAAGCAGAAGCGCATGAACCTTGCCGTACCTTGACGCCAGGCTCATGCAATCTTTTTCTACAGGCCAAATATCAGAGAGTCTACCTAGCAGGAGTACCTAGGCAAGGCAAGCTGGTGCCCACGGACACATCCTACCGTCCTTCCCCTAAGTTACACAAGGCTAAGCGGCACTCAGACTAGCCGGAGTGACTTATATCCCTACCCTACCCTAGAGTCTAAGCCATGCATGAGCAGACCCCGTCATGTACCTGACAGACCCCCCCAGCCCGGTAGTATAGCCCAGTAGTATAGTTGCATGTATAGCTGTGCCCGGAAGCTATGTATGTATAAGCCTGTAGGCTATTTGTATGTTCGCAAGCCATGTTTTTGTGTATGCCCGAAGGCTATGTATGCTCTGTGTAACTGCATAAGGAGATGTATGTGCCCGAAGGCCAGATATGTGCACTACTATGTAGAGGGAACTATGTGTTCTTTGAAGAGATGACAGGCCAAGCTGGACAAGAACCCCCCAAAAGTCTAAAGCCAGACTCGAACCCCCCATGATCTACGACATGTGACCGGAACACTCTACCATATGAGCAACAATTGCAAACGGCACCTATGTGTGATATGCCAGACTTCTGGGAGATCAACAGAACAACCATGACCAACAGCGACAAGCAACCCACGCAGCATCGAGACCCGACATACAACACTATGGACCACCCTTGGTGGGTGCACGGGGAGTCTCTGTAATAGCTTACCTGCAGCAGCCCAACCGAGCGACCGTGCGTTATATAAGCGCCCTCCGGTGTCTCTGTGCGAAGGTGTGGAGTTTTGAACCCACACCCTCGGACCACAATGCGCATTGACAACTGCTGCCCTAACCACTGAGCCACGTGCCGCTTGCTCACCGTGTGTGTTTTTGCTGCGAAGCCGATGTGAAACACTTGCTCATGGTGTTTGCTTTTGCTGGGAAGCCGATGTGAAATATGGCAGAGACAAGGGAGGTTGCCTGTAATTGAAATAGCAGGGAAGTTGCAAGACTTCCCCCCCTCACATGATTTACATCCTCCTATGAATGAGGGAAACTGCTCATAGTAGTGCTTTTATTAAAACTAAATCGAGCACCCTTTTGATGCATGTTGCAGGTCTGTTGATGAGATGATGGATCAGCACCTAGGTGCCACTTTCATGGCACACGGCCTTGGGCATCTGATGGGTCTAGACACTCATGATGTTGGTGGATATCCTGAGGTGAGGATTCTTTTTTTCTTTTTTTTTTTCTCGTGCACGCTTTTGTTTCCAGTTGCATGCATGCCTGCCTGTTTGCCACATTTGTTGCGATTCCTCCACGTCTCAATTATTGTTTTGGAACAGCCGGTGATAGATATGTGATTGTGTCTAGTATCGGCCTTCCATCACTAGAAGTTAGTTTTCATAAGGGGGCCAGCCACTTGTCTAGGATCAGAACCCCTTCCTTCAACCAGATCTAACCAGGGCTGCACCGGCCACTGGCCGGTTGGACCGGACCGGACCCA